AGCGGAAGGAAGGAAGAAGGAGGAGGAAACAGCAGAGAGTGTTAGTAGTTCATTGATAGAGAGTAGTGAAAAGTTTTTTTAGTTATAAAGTTTGCGAATGGACCACACTTACCACGCAACAGGAGAAAATGAACCCGAACCGTCATCTGCGAGGAAAAGAAGACGCAACTTCACTCCTTGTGATGCACTCTCTGCGGCACTTTTCCTCATGGTGATATATCTCCCCAGCGATGGTAGCACCGAATCCCATTCTGTGCAGCAAAATGGGAGCGGAGGATTCAGCCTCTCTTCTTGCCTGCTCAGCATGCAACACATGGAGTTCCTCATCTGTGTACTCTGGCTCAAACAGGTATGGCTCTGGATCTGTGTCCGCTACAAGAAACTCTTCAAAATCGCATTCAAAGTCGTCCATTGCAGCTACTATAGTCCGGAGATATCGCTAGGCTAAATAAACAGCTGAGTTTTGTTTACAAGCTACGTCTGTGCCTGCTCACCGGTGTATCCCTCCGTGGATCACAGCGCAGGACGTACTGACCCCCTATAAGTGCAATGCTAACCGCTGAGACCCAGCCACTGGACGTACAGACACAAAAAAGATATTGATCATGTTGTCTCAATATGAAAATGACAGAGAAAGGGCATAACTCCCAAATCGTCGGAGTATTCTTTTATGTGAAGATACACAGTGAAGACATAACATAATCCTAACACAGCAAAACTGTTACCTGCAGCCTTCGCTAACAAAGCTAACGCTACTAACGTTAGGTCAGTCCAAGTAATTAGTGGAAACATGCTAACATGCTGACGTTACACACAATTAGTAGTAAAGTAAGACCTGTTCATAAATGTTCTGGTGTAGCTCTGAATTTCTTATAAACTGAGGACAACTGCCTGCTGTATATTTGTGTTCATGGTCACAGTCACAGATAATTTTAGATGATGCTCCTTCTTTATCCGCCATGACATCAAAAGTACAACCAAGTCCTCATAGATACATCTCTGGTAAAACTGTTATGTGTTATGTGTTTGGCAATGCCCGTTGTGTACTGCTTACTCGAAAAACAGTGTAAACACGGCTCCTTCTTCTGTGTTTTAATCGCTGCGGCCGCTGTGGGCGAGCAGAATCACTTCCGCCTCGGGTGCCGTATTCTGGTTTGCTGACTTCTGCTGTGTGTCCGACCCAAGTGAGGCTACGCTAAATAGCCATATAGAGAAAGGCTTTTTTGTCGCTGTTGGGTTCAAATAAATATGCAGATCTTCAAGGGGGGGTGATACAGACTAGGGACAGTTTTATTAATGGTAAAAAGTTCTGCACAGCTGCTTTAAGCTATTAAAAAATCATGATTAATATGATGTTCTACTTTCAATCGGTATACATCGGTCCTAATCATAAATATCAAATATTCACTAATTTTCATATTTTTAACCCTTTAACTGCCAGGAGTTGGTCATTGGTCATGATGTCCCGATGCTTTTAGGTGAAATATACAAAAAAATAATTATTTTCAATGAATTGCATGAAAAGTAGATCATTTTTAATTTGATTATTACAGTCTGGGATATGTAAATAATTTGCAGTAACAATGATTTTAATGCATTACTATTTTTGTGTAATGTCAAGGTGAAAAAAATGTGTATGAATACTTTTATATGTATGGTACATTTTTGGTCCTTAAACCTTGTTAATGCAACTTTTGTGTCTGCACAGTGTGTTTTAGACTTACTGCAGGAGCTGAGCTTTAACTTCTAACATAAAAAATACACCAACTTGCCAAAATGTATGCCATAAACATGGACACAGCCAAAATGATCAAAAAATAAAAAGTGAATAGTGTGGAAAAAGCACCTAACTGTGCCAGAGGGTTAATATGCACCTGGGAAAAACACTCAAAACATTCACAGAAACACACACACCCACATGGATAGTTTTTGACAAACACACACACACACACACACACACACACACACACACACACACGTCCTCACTAGTACAGACAGTGGCCGGCAGATTTGCAATGCCTCTCTGCATCCTGCCTTCTGACAGTTGTTTTACTGCAGAAAGGGCAGTGGAAGTGGCCACTGCTTCCAGTCCTGCAGGCCTGATTGCATTTGGTTATGTAGAAATCTATGAAGAGACAAAGGCATCATGTCCAACAATGTGTGCTTTCACTGTAAAATAAAGATAACTAGTATGTGACATTATTATGGGTAAGCTTACTTAGCAGCAGTGGTTACAAGCAAACAAGTGATAATGGCATAGCACAAAGATGATAAAGGGGAACTAACCTTCATGTTGGAGCACATTTTTTTAATGCACATCCAAGTGCTGAAAAACCATGGCCTTTGACAGAGGCTTGTACATGCCAGTAGGGCAAAGGGGGCAGTGAAAAAGTGCACAGCACACAGTGCATCTCGTCACCTGCGGTGGGTTATTTTTTTGAAAAATGCTGATGTGGACCTGAAGGAACAATATAGGAAAAAGAAAAAGCAATCAAAAATGGCTATTGTTAATTGCTCTAGAACACTGTTTCTCTAATGGGGGTACAATACAAATTTGCCTATTATATTCATTTATATTTTCATTTAGCCTATTTGTTTATTACGCTCATGGAAACACACAGTCTACATTCAAATCACAAATCATATGTTTCATTACATTCCATGACCGAAAAGGGGTTTGGAGAAAAAAAATCTTATTTTACCAGCCCCTTTATCGAAAAAATTAATTAATAAATATACATAGATCTATCTATCTATCTATCTATCTATCTGTCTGTCTGTCTGTTTTTCCAGCACTGTTGTATTTATAAGAAAATTAAGAGAGACAAAATAATCAGATGCCATACACAGCACCACATCATTCAATAACATTTACCTGATACCTTCATATTTTCTAATTATTTTCTCTTTATATATTCTCTTGAACCGAGAAATATTAATATAACCCTTTAAATCATCATCCAATTTATTCCAGTTTAACACCACATACCGAGATACACATTTTCCATAAAGTGGTTCTTGCATACTAATGGTAAAAATTAAATTTCCTTCTATGATCCTTGTCCTCTGAACTAAAAACAAAGACATTTTGTATATTATCTCTGCACTTTGCCCTGAACATAATAACAAAGTTTGTAAACCAACTAGATATTTACATTTTATAATAGTGACTTAAAGAACAATAATAAATAAAGACATCACTTGTCAGTTAAGTTCATGATTTCATCTTGAGAACAAATCTTTATTATGATCCCAAAAGAGGGCACTTTGAGTTGATAATTATTTATATGTGCAGAAATGTTCATTTAAATTACGTTAAGTAAGTTAATTCTTTCTTCAATCTATTTTGTCTTCAATCTTTATTATAATTTAGTTAATTATTTCTTCTTTTTTGCAAGCATTTTTAGTTATTTCTCTCTATATTTTATATTATTGATGTGGTTTTAAACGGTTTTGTGCCTGTCTGTCACTGTTTTCAAATGTTTTTCAGTTACAAAGTTTAATAAATATGACACTGGTGGTCTTACTTTCAACCAAAATTGCTTTACGCTGATTAAGGGTCACTTGGCTGAAAAACTATTTCTCAGGTGGTCCATCACTGAAAAAGTTTGAAAATGACTGCTCTATGTAGGCTAACGTTAGGTATTAGCTAAAAAAAGACAGGTGTGTGCGGGTGAGTGAGAGTTTAGATGTGTTGTTTGTGCTAGAAAGCACGATATTGTCACTTTTGATCCTATAGCGCCACCTAGGGCGTCGGGATATGTTGCTATGAAACTTTATTGTCATAGCTAGTTAAGTGCAATATCTCTCTTTCATCTTTCATCAACACTTTACTAATTATTATGAATTTTGGTATTAATTAATGCCTAACGCTACAAAATGTAGAAGAAAATTACAGTATAAAGTTTCTCAGAGTCAAAGTGACATCTTCAAATGTCTTCTTTTGTCCAACCAATAGTCCAGAGAACAAGCAAATTAATTTACTGTTATATAAACAGGTGGTTGATATTGTCTTTTTTGTTTGACTTAGCTTATTAACCAATGATTAATATGTCAGTGACTATGGACTGCTCTGACAGCAGTCTCGTGTCCATGAGCTCCAGGTTGAACATGAGTGCATTAGTGCAGGGTCATATGCCATCTTCTCTATGACAGAGTTTAAGGGTGAAGACAGTCTATAATATTTACAATACACTGAAAATCTTAAGCACATGTAAAGGCTATATGAGGCCAATATGATGGTGCACTGTGGAACAGATACCTCAGTTTTGGTTGTGGTAACGACCTCCTGATCAGGATCCTGGTCCAGGTTAATAGGTTGGATTTTCTGCACAGACTGCTGAGTCCCTGGGTCTCGGTTCAGAAACCTGGTCCTGCCTTGCAGAGAGGAGCCTGCTGCAACATTAGAGGGAGAATAATTAGCCATTAATTACTAAAACTATACTCAACTTATAAAATGGATAATTCCAGTCCTTGTCTGAGCTGTGCTCAAAGCATGGATGTATAAAGAGAACTGGGTACAGAAAGTTGCTCAGTGGCGCATGAAGCCAAAAAATCTTGATTTCCACGGTATAAAATTACCTGGATCTTCCATATCATGGGACCCACAGACCAAGGGCACTAGAGACATCTGCCAGCTGAGCGGCTAACTTCCACTTTAGCCCTCCACCAACTTGGTTGGGGATAAAATTTAATCATGAATGGTTTTTCATTCCCCATAGTAAAGCAAGTCATTTCTCAGGGTGGTGATGTTCAAAAAAACATATCCATTAATTTACAGACACCTCTTTCACAATGGGTAGAAGTCTTTTTGGGCCCTACTGCATCATGTGATGGACCTGGAATTTGTGATTCCACATGTGACCACTATGTAAAACTGGCTTCAAAGCCCAGCATTGTTCCTGGGGGCATGGTTCAAAGCTGTTGTAAAGGACACACAGCTGTGACCACATTACATTTTCAGAATTAATGCAGCAATTAGTCACCTACTGTCATATGACGCAGAGCTAAAGAGGGCAACCGTAATATGAAGCCAAAATCATTTATCATCCGCCAAGATGACAACATTCAGAAATAGGCTTGTGCCAATTTCCGGTTTAACCGATTTGGTCCGGTTTAAGAGCTCCAACCGGTTTAATTCACATCAACCGGATAAACCGGAAGAGAGAAAAAAAACGAAGCTTTTCACATCGGCGGCGTGTCAAGGGACTATATTCAACTTATCTTGCATTGTAACGTGCATTATGACAACTTAATAAGGTTTATGTTTGTTTATAAATGAANTAAGAATTTAGTCACACAGATTTGTTTTTTTCATTGATATAAAAATTAATATAAAATACAGGCACATAGAAAGACATGAAATGATGGCAAATCCGGATAGCCCTGATTGACCTGAAAAAACCAAGATATAGCATGTGTATCTAGCCTTTATAATGACTGTGATATAAGCTTAAAAGTAAAGGCAGTAAAAATACCCCAAAAAGGCCTAGGGCCCATAAGGTTAAAACACATAAAACAATTATCTATAACATTAGGTTATAAACGACCGCGGACCGCTCGCTCGCCCCCCCTCTCTGACCTGTGGCCACACTGCCCGCGGAAGCGCTGCGAATAGCCTCGAAGCACCGGACCGGGACCGGCTCGCGCCCTGCAGCGATCGTTTCGGCGTCTGGTCTATTTTCTGCACGAGCCGCGAGCGAATGTGTCAAGCTGAGTGACGGAGACAACAGCTGGGAGCAGAACCGCTTGTCGACCAGCGTGGAGAAATGCGCGTCTGATGCCAGCGCCCACTCGCAAAGAGGACAGCTGTGGTGGTGTTTTTTTTTTTCTCTCCACAATCTAATATCAATTTTCACATTCGAAGGTCCATTTTTTTTTCAAATTCGAATTTAAATTCGAATTTAGAATATTCGTTGACAGCCCTACTGTGAGTCAGCGATTTCCTGTGGGAAATGAAGCTGTGATATTGTTCTCTTCAAAGGCAGACTCCATTGAGAAAAAAAGTGATTTGATATTGTTGAACACAGGAGCTGCTGGTCTACTGCTGCCTCAAACTGTTATTTTGTTTGTGTTATTGTGTGACTTAGACATCTAAAAGGGTTAGTTCAGATTTATCAAAGTCACACAATAACACAAACTAACTAACTGACAGAAGCAGTTTCCGAGTTTTAGCAAGCTTAAATTATTGTTTTTCTCAATGGAGTCTGGTGGCTTTCATGAGAGAACAGATGGGGACTGGAAGCTGCTAATGGCTTCCCCATTGGAACGGACTGTCTGACAGAAAGGTAAAGCGGTGGAATTGTTCTCAATATAGCATACACTGAAACTGATTTTTTTTGCTGACCCCCATCTACAGCAGTACATTGCTTAGCTTCCATGTCAGTACTCCAGCCTGCTTCTTCAAACTGGGAGGCGTGCCAACTGACACTGACTATGGATAAGTACCATATACAACCACATGCCAAAAAATCTGAACCCATAAATAAACAAACTAAACAAGCTTGTCTCATAATTATCTCATGTATCAAATAAACTGAAACACTGGTTTGAAATTAATAATTCAGCCGACACTAAACCACTGTTAATGTTGGGGAATAGGACCTAGTTAAAATGGAGAAAGGAAACCTTTACACATTCATACTGAATTGTATTAAATGTGTTCACTATATGTAGGGAGACAGATGCATAGACAGTACTACTATATTGTAAGTATTGCTTTTTATTCATCGTTGCATTTAATGTTTACTACTAATGACTGCCGTTTGCGGGCCAAATTACACCTCAGCAACATTAAAGGAGATATATTACGCTCATTTTCAGGTCCACACTTAAATTTTTGTTGTGTTCAAAAAACACTTTATTTTCCTCATACTGTCTGTGCTGCAGCACCTGTATTAACCTTCTGTCTGAATTGCTCTGTTTTAGCTCCTGTTTCTTTAAGGCCTTTCGAAAAGCCCAGTCTGCTCTGACTGGTTGGTGTTTCCGGTCTTCAGCATCATCTCTGTCACTGTCATTGTAACCAGGGAACCACTGTTACTAAGTTTAGCTGCACTTTTACAATGAATATTGCCACAATGACCTCTTCTAAACCAAAATCTTCACAACCACACGTGTTCTACCAGGAATCTGATTTGAAATTGGGGAGAAATTTACAACTTTGGCAACCAAGACTACAGGTTTCCCTGACATATTGTGAATACTGTTTGGTATTTTGATGCCCAGTGCAAAGTGCACGGTGCACAGGTGGACTTTGGTAAATCAGTCTGCATTGATTTATAAATAATTGTGAGTGATTCTTACAGAAGTTGTTCACAGCTTTTCTGAATGAAAACCTTCCATTTATTAAATTCCTGCAGCCATCCGAGGCAGCAGGACACATATGTAGATGAATGTGCAGCATCTGATTGGAGCATAGTGTCATTACACATGACCATCCACTCTGTTTACCTTCATTAGATCACATGAAAATGACACCAGGCTGCTACAGAATAACCACACACACCTGTACACACATCAGACAAGCCTGTTATAACTCAGCATTCTGTTGTTTATGTGGGAGACATCAGATTACAGCAGCTCATTAATCCTGTGCTTCAAATGCATCACGTTGCTGTTACATTTTACAATATGATGAGACCATTTATGATGGCAGATACAGTAGAATTAAAACTGATCCATCTGCCTCTGACTGGCTGCTGATTTGAGGTGCTGTGTGTTCACATCATGCTGCACTGCATCATCAAGACAACAACATGACTTCCTGCATATGCTGATTCTTATTTGTTGAACTGTTGTTTTCATGCCACCTTGTGATTGGCTCAACTGATTCAGACCAATGAGTCCATTCATGGGACTGGCTAAGAGTTTATTTATCACTCACAATTCAGTTTTCAGCTTAAGTGGCTTATTGACATGACTGCATACAATAAACTAATGTAAAATAACATCAAAATAGGAGTGTAAAATGGCCAACAACAGAAAACAAGTGCAATTTGAAATTATTTATTGAACAACCAGGCCTCTGTTAGCCATTAAACAATAAATTAAAAGTTACCTTGAGAAAAATTAGCAAGGTGTCTGTCACTGCCATTACAATGGTTAGATGCAGCACTTGAGGACTGTCTCTGGGGTCTGGAGCCGCTCTCCTCATGGTCAGTTCAACGTCTGCCTGATTAGCACAAGCTAACGCAGCAACAGCAACTAACATCCAGCACAGAGCTGTTTAATTGTCCCAACAAACTCAGATCAACACCAAAATGGCTTGACTCTGTTGTGTTAAACTTGTGAATAACATTAGGTAATATGAGCTGTGGGATTCTAACAGTTAGCCCCGTCACTACCTGTAGGCAGGCATACTCTCACTAACTGTCCCTGACACGTAGCTCACACTATGCAGCACTAGTTTCATGACTAACAGAGAGGGAGCAACAGCGAGGCAAGGAAGTGCTTAGTGAAACATTACACTGCACACAGCCCTAGAATAAAACAACATTTTACCATATGGCAACCCTCCAGGGCTGAAAAATGAAGCCAACATGAAAGTGCCAAAAACTGCAGTTCCTCTAATGGCCACTTGAGGCTGACTCTAGAAACCAGTCAGTCTCCGTAGACCCCCAAGTTGAAATACCCAACTTTACAGGAGAAGTAAACACATGTACAGCCTGGTACAAAAAAAACGGTTTTGGTCTTTATAGTTAATTTCTCTCTTCATGACAACTGCGGGGGGAATTTTTATATAACTCACCCATATACATTTTATTAAGGCTTAAAGTTACGCAGAATTAAGGGCAGACCACTTTGACAGACAAGCTGTCTGCAGAAGTGTCTTTGGCTGCTCAGTCAGATCCACCCCTCACTCCTCCACAGCTCCAGTCTCACCCAAAAATGGTCACTTCTGGCTCCCCAAAAAAAAGGTAGCAATGGTCTAAATGCCGACCTGGAGGCATCAACACAGGAGTCCAGAAAACCAGTGGGTGATGTCATGGTATCTTTGCCTGTTTTTTACGATTTTTTATATTTTTATATTATTTTATATTATTATATATTTTTTACAGTCTATGAATTTTACACATTTTAAATAGTAAGAAATATATAAAAGTAAAGTTTCCATGTTGGGCATATGTATGTATATGTGTGTGTATATATATATATATATATATATATATACAGTATATATATATTTATATATGCCCAACATGGAAACTTTACTTTTTTCTTACTATTTAAAATGGGTAAAATTCATGGACTGTAAAAAATCGTAAAAAACAGGCAAAGATACCATTTTCTAAGATCAATATTATATTCCAAATGATATCAGATTGGATCACACCTTTGTACCAATAGTTCTTGCTCATAATTCATGGCCCCATATGCAGCATACTCTGTGTATACTCTGCAGGTTACAATACAGTTCAGTCTAATGAGATTATATCATGTCTGTTTAAACTGGGGTACAACTGTTAGTCCAGTTCAGTTCCAAGGAATCCAGTCCAGTCCAGTCCAACCCAGCCCAGTCCAGTCCAGTCCAGTCCAGTGGATCCTGTGAAGGAAGTGATTTTAATTAAAGATAAGTTGCTCAGTGTGCGGCCATACTGAGCCTGTTAATCTGAATCCAATAGGCTGGATGTAGCAGCTAGGAGGCCCTTGTAAAGCATAGGCTCTATTGAAGCCCACTGCATTTCATTTGGGTGGGAATCAATGCAGATTGACACCACTTAACATGCAAATGGTGCTCAGGTCAACCAGCGGCTTCCTGCCCGCTGGCGGTGGTCCAACATCTACAGCTTAACTCTCTTTCTCCGCTTTACATCTCCTCTCTCCATATTACTTCTCTTTCTTTTCTCCTCTCTAACTTGTTTTCTTCCCCTTGAAAGATACTTCTCTTCCTCTTTACCCTGCCCACTTCCTTGTCTTGCCTCCTTTCTCCTAGTCCTTTTCCACCTTCCCTTCCATCTCCTTTTCCTCCTCTCCCCTCCCTCCTTTTCCATCACATTCCTCCCCTGCTGTTGTAAAAATCATATTCAGGATATTCGTCCATTTAAAGATATGAGAAAATAAAAGACTATTGATTGCTTGATAAACTGCCACTGATGGCAACAGAATGGGAGTAAAGTCAGTATAACCCCTTGCTGAGGCTGTGTGTGTGTTAGCTGGAGGCACTATATGGGAGATGCTGTGGATCAATAAAGTGTATTTGTGTGTGTCGGCCCTTAGCTATCCTTC